GAGGTGTTTGGCCCCTTTCCCGAAAAAAAATTTTCCCCCCCCCCCCCCGGAGGCGAGCTGCCCCTCGCCGCTGTGGTCCACCGGCACAAACCCCCGGCTTCACCGCAGCCCAGCCTGCGTAATAACCGGCCTCTGCAGCTTTGCAGGCAAATGTATACGGAATCTTTTTAGCTATTTCTTTTAATTTGCCCTAACAGTACCAGTGGTTTTTTCGTTGGGTTTTTTTTTTGTTTTTTAAACTGAAATAACTCTGATTTTTGCTTCTCTTTTCGGAGCTGTGGACAAGGAAACGCTCCCACCGCCACGCTGGCGGTGCAAAGTCTTGATCTCTTCCACGCGGAAGAATTCAAGGATGCGTGAAGTCACACGAACAACCAAGTTCTCAATTTCTTCTTCAGTCCAAGCAACACTTTTCATTTTCAATTAAAAACACTATTAAAATAAACCTGCGTTTGACACACTGGCTGAAGATGGCAATCTCCAGGTAACGGTTTATTTAACCCTTTGCTGAGCCGGGTGGAAATAGCTAATGCATCAGGGAAGGGGGAGGCGGGATGGTGCAATTAATTTGTCCAAAATAACCAAGAGCTGATTAATTAATTAGCTTCCAGGGACTTTGTGCATGCTCCCTGCCCGGGTTTTCCAGCAGGGGAGCGCTGGAAAGAGGCTGTAGCCCAACTCTGCTTTCAACTGGCCCATTTTCTCCTACCACTTCAAATACACCGCGGGAAGAAATCTGTTTCCAGCTGCTCTCGACCGACGCAGCTCTGCTCTCCCGCTCCGAGGTTTCCCGGTCCTGCAGCCGCTCTCTCAGGCACCGCCACGGAGGTGACGTCCCCCTTCCCTGCACCCGGGGCTGGTCCCACGAGCCGTGGAGGAGAAGGCACCCAGCCCTCAGCAGCCCAGATCCGCAGGCGCCGGTCCCCTCTGCCTAATTTCAGGCACTCGCTTGGGTTTTACGGAGACCCACTGGGCTCCTCCTGCAGCGCGGCTTCCCAAAGGCGTTGGCATCCCTCCAGCCCCAGCGTAGCAGCATGGGCAGGGGTTATAGCAGGGCTATGAGCAGAGAGCCGCCCTCGCCAAGGTCCCCTCCAGCTCCCACCTGAACCCCGATGGTTCCCAGCGCGACCTGGCTGGTGCTCAGCCCTGCCCGTCGCGGGCATCAACAGCTTTCCAACATCCCTCCGCACGGCCCGTGGCAGAGGTCCCAGGCATCCGTCCGTGGGTGCACCCCACAGAGACCTCCTGCGCCCCGAGAAGACCCCTTCTTCCAAGATCCGCACACGCACGCGTGCACACGCACACACACACACGCGCAAAGGCAAAGTCAACACGGCCGCTGCATCACTGAGCCCGACTCCGTGCTTCGTGCCGAGTTGAGCATCACTCCTTGATTGTAACCGCTTAAGGCACAGAACAGTATTAAATGCTGCCCCGCTGGAGGTGCTGGCTGGTCCCATGACCTCCAGGAGGGTTCAGTCCCCTTGTGAATGGGCCACCCGGGTCCCCCCGACTCTGCGGTCTGAGGATCATCTTCTCCGGCTTGGCTGAAGCCCGTGTCTGTTCCCCTGCGAAAGGCGGTGATGGCCACCGAGCATCTTATTCCTCCGCTGCTCCCAGGGATGCTGCCAGCGTCGCTGTCGTGCTGGGGGGGACAGAGCCCATTCGCCGCACTTTCCCCAGGAGATAAGCAACATGGCGAGGGGGGACGACCCCGACATCGCTGGCGGCAAGAAGGTTACTTGGTCCTAGGCCAGCACCCGCACAGTCCGGGAAACCCCTCGCTCTGAATACCCGGCGCCGACAGTCCCGAGCGCAGCTTGGAAATCCAACAACGTGGCGGGTGCCGAGCCGGTGCCGAGCAAGAAGGGACCCGCGGGGGCCACCGCCAGGACAGCCCAGGGCGGAGGTCTGAACCGCAGAGCGCAAAAGGCCGCGGGTCTGGCGGCCGCCCCCCTCCTGCCGGCGTTTCCCCATCCCCGCTGCCAGGGGCTCAGAGCCCGCAGTTGACGAAGGGGTGTCTCAGCAGGTCCTCGGCCGTCGGCCTCCGCTTCTCCTCCACGAAGATCTGCTTGAGGAAGTTGCGGCAGGAGTTGGAGACGCCATCGGGGAGCTGGGGGTTGGTCGGCTGGGTGGCGATTTTAAAAATAGCCGCCATGGCTTCGAACTCTGCCCACGGCGGCTTCTCCGTTAACATCTCCACCACGGTGCAGGCCACGCTCCTGCAACAACGCCAAGCATGCAGGGGTGAGGCAGCGGGTAAGGGACGGGGGTGGCTGTGCATCTGAAGTCTAATCGGCTCTAGGATTGCGCCTGCCTGGAACGGACTGTGCGGGGAGCAAACCTGCCTGAGAGATGGGCGCACGTCTCCCGTACGCGTGGCCCCCCGAAGCTCACTGTTCACACAGCTCCTTGGCACGGGACTCTCCGCTCCCACTAGCAAGAGTGAACTTGCAAGTCTTGCCCTAAAGCTGGTGGCTTTTCTGCCTATGTTAACAGGCAGATACTAAGTTTTATAAAAGCATATGAGAGACTTTATCGGAGCATGCCCCGAAGGGAAACCCAGGCACAAGTTCAGACAAAGCAATAGCACGTAGTTCCCCAGGAAGCTGAGCCAAAATGAAACGTGTTCACCTACATCCAACTTCATCTCTGACCTGCCTCTGAGAAGGAGCACGTCAGACGAGCAGCAAAGAGCCTGAGAGGTTTCCCTGTGCTTGCTGAGGAGAGCTCATCTCAGCAGGGACCCTCTCTGCCACCTCCATGCATAGCTGCTCCTAAAATACTGAACCCTCCCATCGGCCAGAGCAGACGGTGCAGGGCTGCCTGCTAAGGACGCCCTAGGTTTTCCCCCCCAGCCTGTGGTGGAGGGACTAGTTTTTGTTGACCCTATTTTGCTTGGGCACCCAATGGAAAGCACACTGCGAAAACAGTGCCTCCTCCCCATTTATTGGGAGGATTAGCAGCGTTATCCCAACTCTTTTAAGCTCCAGCTGACATCTGTGGATCTCCGCAGATCAAAACATTCATAAGCAGCCAATGATTTTGGTTGCCTTTGTGCCTGAACCACGTGCAAACACCCAGCAGCAGTTTTTGAGAGGCCGCACAAGATCCCCCTGAGCCTCCAAGCTGGGTTTAGCTGACCTAAAATCAGGGCCACCAAAACTCAACAGCTCTTTTAGCAAACTTTGTTATCAACCCGCTTTCCAGAATTAAAGAGCAGCTACACGGTCAAGCTGCGCATGCCCCTCCGACATGAGAAAAGCTTCTAAAAGAAAGTTGTGATTTTGAGTGCTCTTGTTTTGGGACTTTCAGCTACAACATGCTCTCTCTGGATATCCGAACCGTTGATCCTAACATTTAGCTCCCATTTCCATCCTTTGTACTGCTCCGTCTTCCAACTACTAGCTATACGTGTTGCTCTCATCCCAGCTTCCCAAAGGGATCATTCGTTTAAGCGGCAGTGGTGAGGTTTCTACTGTATTCCTTACCACACGTCAGCTTTCCTTCCGTAACCTTCTCCACTGATAACCTCTGGGCTCATCCAGTATGGTGTTCCCGTGACAGATTTAATCCCAGTCCCAGACATGCAGATGGTCTGGATGCGTTTGCTGGCCCCAAAATCTCCAAGTTTCACATTTCCAGCAGAATCTCTCAAAATATTGGCACCTAGGGGTGAAAAGCAAAACCAAAAACGCGAAGAGATGAAGCAGCAACCTGAATTGAAGCGGCTACAGCAAGGAGAGCAGGAAGGGCAAAGGCAAAGAGCTGGACATGAGGGAGCGTTGATGGGTCTGGACTCAGCATTACACAAAACCCGCCTCTCCTAAGGCAGCTGCCCTCCGAGAGGGCTGACTCCCATCGGCTCTCCTGGCTAGTCTCACTCAGCAGGTTTCCCAAAAGTGAGCAGTGAATGGGAGACGACAGATCATCCTCCCAACGTGTAGACAGCAGGACAGAGCCTCAGATGCCTCAGAATGCCAGGGCCTCTCAATTCTTGGGATGTTACACCAGGTTTTTAGATGTGTAAGGGCAGTTAACAATAATCCCTCTCAAGAGTACTTAATCTGGGCTTCCCAGGCAGAAAGACCACACAAGATTTTGGTTTCAGCTGCTTGTTCAAGATTCTCATGGTTCAAGCTGGTGAAGGCCAGGGGCAAAAATACTTTAAATACCAGATCCCAGCACTATGTTTTGCACAAGAATTTATATTGGGGTGGGAGGAGGCTGGGTTGAACAAATCCAAGCAAGCAAGAAGCCTCTCTGTATTATCTACTCACCTTTAATGTCTCTGTGGACAATCATATTGCTGTGTAAGTAGAAGACTCCCTGCAGGATCTGCCTGGTGTACTTCCGTGTGACGTTCTCGGTCAGAGCACCGTAAGCTTTTAGCTGGTCCTTTATTGAGCCCTGTTGCAAAGAAACAACACGCGCCAACCGTAAGGACCAGCAGAACCCGGTGCATCACGTTGCAGTGACTTTTTAAACTTTCCTGACTGCTCTATCTCCCAGCTTAAAAAAGCCACTCTGCTGTAGAAACAGCAAGATAAAAATCCACTAAGTGCTGAATAGAGCAAGGACTTCTTCCCAGTGTCCCAGATCCCACCAGAGAAAGAGGTATGGTCTCCGGTGCGTACCAGTGCTACCTTCTGCCAATGCTACAGATCTTTTTCCCCCTCTAGTGGCAGGACATCACCAATAGCTCATGGAGAAGGACCAAACTGAGGAGTTACAACTCAAGTGAGAAGATGAACTTGACTAGTTCTTCAGGGCCAAGCTGATGAGTCAGTCTTCTATGAAGCCTCCCCCCCTGCAACCTGTCACAGCAAGGACTACCCACTGCCATGAGGCGGACAGACTCACGAGGGACATGATCAGCCCCACATGCGACTGCTTCAACAAGAAGACCCACGGTAGACAATCTGCAAGTACTCAGCCTTGAATTTCTGACCCAGGCATGCAGGCTCCTACAGGTTTGATTTTATTAATCAAAGAGGAAAGGTAGCAGAGGTGCAGCCACCTACCATCTGCAGGACATGGACCTCCTTGGTTTTAGCTGTATTTTCTGTCCACTTGGAAATGGATATCCCTCACTATGCCAGAGCTGGGTTTTAGCAGGGATGAACCAGAGGCAGATTTGGGGTTCAACCAGAGAGGTCACGCCCAGATCTACTTCCAGCATTCAGGTTAGCTGAAGAGCAGGAGGGGAAACTCCTCCTGTTTCTGCCTGTCCTGCAGCTCCAGGGTTGATCCAAGACTGCCATAGTCCCTCTCTTCTGGGAACAGTGGGATGCTCTGCTCCAAGTCAGTCACTCAAACTGTATCAACTTTTCCACATCCACCCACCTCTGCTGTTGCTCTGCCCAGCTACTGTTTTGGCTTTCTTTTGAGGCTGGTGGTGATCCTGTGGATGGGCCTCTCCTTTCCCTTTCACAGTGCTGCTGAAGTAACCCAGGATGCTCTGAAATTACCCCCTTGTACAATTTGTATGCAGGGTATATTCCCTCACCCACAACCCGAACAAGCTTTCTTATCCTGGCCTCCCTCACGCTGATGGGGGGACATCAAACATGATACCGAGGAAGGGGAAACAGGGTCTTCAAGGCCTTTGGTCAAACAGACCATTCCGTTTTCCAAGCATAAATTCAAAAAAATAGTTGATGGGCAGGGCAGGACAGAAAATACAGTCTCAGCTATTTAATGGGGGCAATCCTAAGAATGCCAGCCTAAAGGTGCACCCAAGCTTGGCCCCGTGAAGGTTCTGCCAAGCTGGCTGTGTTCAGTCAGAAGCTTGGCCAGATCCAGCATTGCAGAGCTGCTGCCCTGCAAGGTTTGGGAACTCATTCACTTCCACTGGCCTTGGAAACCAAAGCTGAGCTGCTTTTGTGAAATGAGCCGTTGTTGCAACACGAAAGTCAATCTGTATTTGGTCAGAGCTCTGGTTTATCATTAAAAAAACAAACATTCAACTTCCAGCCCTGCTGGACACTGCCCCAGCATCAAATGTTGGTTTCCTGGCTGCTAACAAACATCGGCACACTGCAGAGTAAGTGGCAAGGGGACTGCTGAAACTCCCGGGGTTTACTCCTTTGGGCCCATGCCTTGTGGTAAGGCCTGAAAGCGAGATGCCTGCCCGCAGGGAGAGAGGGAGGACAGGGCTTGGAAGGGACTCAAAGACGTGGAAGTCCACCTGATTACCCACGTGCAAGATGCGTTAGGAGGCCTTCTAGCATGTTTACTAATGATCAAAATTATTTGCGACCAGATGACTTAATAGTCCTGTCTGACCTTACAAATCTCTGTACAAACAAGGGTTTATTCTCCCACACTCTGGGGAATGAAACCAGCTGGACAGGCGGGACTTAGGAGACCAGATCCTCCAGCAATGTAAATAGCGTTATGCTGGTTCATACCAACTGATGACTTTGTCTAGATGGCTGATGTAATTCACATGCTCACAAACAGAGAAAGAGATGTTCAACTAATCTGCGTACATTCTCCAGCCCCTGCTTAGACTCTCTCAGAGCTTTCTGATCTTCTTTTTCCCTAGGGCTATTTCTCCTATATCAGCAAAGCCACAAATGGACACCAGTCCTGCACAAGGGGATAATGCTACCAACAAAAAGTTCTGTCCTGAACAGAAGAAGACTTACAAGTAACACTTTTTAATACACACGTGCTGAAAGTCATAAATAATTGGTGACAGCTGTGGGTGGACAGTTGTACTATTAGCTTTTCCTGCAGGGATTTGCAATAAATACTTAAGGATGGGCTCAGGCCACAGCGTTTGGAGCCAGATCTGGATCATGTCCCACATTCACCAAGTTCAGATTCCAGACCGTGAACACACCCTGCTGCAGGATTCAAACCTAAAACATGCCTTCAAGGCTTTTGATTTCACCCACTGCACGTTGAGGGGCTTCACCATGACATCTGACTCACAACCTAAGCTTTTCCAAGCCTTAGGGATGCATCCACTGGTTTGTTTTGGCTCATCAGATACAGAGCAGCTCAGCTCAACAGTTTAACTCCAGATCCAAATTCCACCAAACTCCAGGGCAGGCTAAATCTGTTCTCCATCTCTCAGGATAATCTTTAGCAGGAACCACACTTACCCCTGGCATGTATTCAACAAAGATAGACAGTTTCTTCTCCTCAGGATCCCGCAAGCACCCATAGTACTGCACTATCCTGTCGTGACGGAGAGTCTTCAACAGCTGAATCTCACATTCCAAGGCATTCACCTCCTGCAACAAAACAGACGGGCTTCGTGACGAAAGGGAACGGTTACTTTGGCCATATTATCCAAATATTGCGCGATGCTGAGCACTCTTTTCAGAGCACCTGCGAAGCTGCCCATGAGGACATCAGCCACACAAGGCTCAGAAATGAGAAGCGCTGCCCTAAGAATAGAATAGAATAGAATAGAATAGAATAGAATAGAATAGAATAGAATAGAATAGAATAGAATAGACTATTTCAGTTGGAAGGGACCTACAACAATCATCTAGTCCCACTGCCTGACCAATGCAGGGCTGGCCAAGTTAAAGCATGTTGTTAAGGGCACTGTCCGAACGCCTCTTAAACACTGACAGGCTTGGGGCATCGACCACCTCTCTAGGAAGCCTGTTCCAGTGTCTGAAGAAACAAGTAAGGAGAGCAAGAGATGGGATGCACAAGGGCTTGGATTTGAGACAGGTTTACTTATTTACTCGTGCTCAAGGAGTTTTTCTGGAAAGGTGTGAATGAAGACACCAGCAAAGCTAATGCGGAGCCCAGAGTAGGAAGAAAGTGAAGGGAGCAAGAAGGCTGAAACTAAGGAAGAGCAGACAGACCTGCAAGAGATGATACCCGAGACAGAGCGGCCCAACACGACCAAGGAACTGGGAGGTAGAGAAGCCACCAGAGGATACTGACTGGTGCCACAAGCCATTGGGGACCACACGGAAGAGGGCAAACAACACACACTGTCTTTACACGCTGCCTTCCGCCAGGGACACAGACCCCTCCGCCACCTCTACCCTCAGCCTCCAGCCCACAATCCCCCAACGTGCTGCGGAACGCAGTCCTGCCCTCGTACTCACTTTACTCGTCTCTTGACTGTCAGGGTCAAAAGGCACCTGCTTCACCGACAGCTCCCGGCCAGTGTCGGCGTCGTAGCAGAGATAAACTTCCCCAAAAGCTCCTCTTCCGAGCAGCTTCCCCAGCCTCCAGTTCACAGGTGCCTGCAGGGCTACACGAGAGAGGAGAGGGTTGAGAGAAGAGCACAGCAGGGAGGCTTCAGCATCAGGGTCCATCTGACCCTACAGAGCGCAGATCAGGCTTGCAATGAGCTCAACGAGGCAAGCAGCGAGCCACCCTCTCCCAGGGGCACCACGACAAACCAGTTTTAATAGCACGAGTGCTACTGGTGTGTGTGGGGGATGTCTCCCAGTCTGCATTAGTATAAAGCAGAAACAATCCCAGAAAAGTCATATTTCTTTAGAGTCCTTCCTCTAGAAACTGCGTTCTTAGCTAAAGTTGAACTTCCCTCTGCTACAGGAGTGGTTAGCAGGATACAGCATGGCTGAGCAGCAACCCAGGCAGGGAGCAGTAAAGAGTTTTATCTCATTACTCATTTCTAGGTTGTTATCCATCACTGAACAGGCCCAGAATGCACCAATTTCTACAGTATGGGCAGTCTTGCAACACCAGAGCAGCCTGCAAAACCTCTAGAGCCATTTGCTCCTGCATCCCAAGTCTCCCAGAAGCTTCTGCTGTGCGAGCACGTTGACAGTCCAACACAAAAGCGATTTTCTGCAACTCAGCAAGTGACGAAAACCAGCTGACCCCACACGCGCCCTCAAGTCAAGGTAAGATACAGTGTGTTGTATTAAATCTTCCTCATTGAGACGTAAGCTGGCACAGCTCGGCTCGTGTTGGGGATGGAATCAGGGTGCATTCACACATGGTTAGCTTAGCTGATGCCCATCAACTCAGCAGGGGACGGTAACTCAATTTTGTGTTGAGACCCAGATGTACTGAGACCTCAGACACTAGTGGCTTTGATTGACTTACAGTTCCTAGCTTTCGTAGGGGAGGTGCTGAAGACCTGCAGACCTTTTTCACAATTGTTCCACCATTTGGGCCTGTACTCATCATACTGCAAGGTGCTGAGCTTGCTGTCCCCATTAAAGCTCTTGGTTCGGCTAGAAGGGACAAGCTGAAACAGGTTCTCCTGTGGGAAGTAACTCCTGGGGAAAGTCCTCCGGCCTGTAGGAGAAAAGGGGGAGAGTTATGGCAAGAACGCACACACCAGCTTGGATCTACCTATCACCACCTTCTCACATCACTGCCCAGATCCAGCGATGCACCTCTTCAAATTAAACAAAACAAGTTTAATGAAACTGAAGCAAAGCCCCGTGAACGTCTTTAATTCAATTTAAGAGTTGTTAACAGCAGGCATTAGGCATTACATCTAATGCAGATGTTTCCAGAGGGGTTTGCAACAGTTTAATTATGTTAGGGGGTTTGTTGGTTGTTAATCACAATTAAACTCTGAACGGGCAGGGATTTACACTGCAAATTATCCCTGCCATCCCCTAAGACCACAATACAAACGACCACACAAGCAATGCCAGATCTCGTGATAACTGCTTGCACAAGGGTGGTGTCACTGAGAGAAGAAGTTCAGTCTGGAAGGCTCAATATGCTGTCTGCATGTCCTCGGTATTTTTTTTCCAAGGGAATTTGAGCCTTATTCAGTTTTGCCTCCCACCACTTGCAGTCTCACACAGCAAAAGACAGAGCAGCAACGAGGTGATGCAGTGGTCCCTGAAGCTCAGAGTTCACCAGCTTAAAACAGAGATGTGAACAGATACTGCTACCCTGAAATTGCTAGGGCATTTTGTACAGCTCGGTGAGAAACCAGCATCCTCAAAAGCAAGCAATTTAGGGGAACAGAAAGGCTGATATTGCCAGGGATGAGAAAAGCTACCCATCCATGTGGCTAAGTTAAAACACTAGGTACAAGCAGAGGAGGAGCTGAGCACTGACTGTGATAGATGCTGTAGATGCTCGGCACTTCCCAAGAGCAGACCAGCAAGGTCTCACAGAGCATGCTTTTCAGAATATGCAAGTGAATCCCAGATTACTTGGTTCTTCTCCTTTCATTAGAAAATTCTCCCTCCCAAGTCTCTCCAGTCCTAGGCACTGTCACAAGCCACTGAGATCCTGGACTGAGCACCTCCCTCCCCGACCCTCCATCATTTTCTTACCGTCACTGTAGTCCTTGCGGCTTTGGGAGAGGTGGTACTGCCTCGGGAAGGTGCCACCTTTCCCAAACCTCTCGCAGAACGGGATGTCGAAATCTGTCAGGAGGGAAGAAGAGACGCATTTCTGACATCAGCTCAGTATCAAATGCCCAGAGCGTTTCTTATGGGAAAGCGTTCTGGTCTTCACGCTAAATTACAGGCAAGAACAAGGTGACAAGCTGTTCATTTACACGACCACACATTCCCCAAGGCTCACTCTGAAATCTGTCCACAGCCACACACTCCTTAGTCGAAAATAAGGGTTAGACATGCTGGTCTTGGTCCCCCTAAAGCAAAGAGGTTTAACTGCTGACTTTATGGACCCTGGCCCATACTGTTCAAATAAAAGGCAGGGGATTAACATAGACCATGCCTGATTTCCAAGACAGAGCACTAAACATCTTATTTGCACATGGAAAACAGAAAAACTAGTGTGGAAACAGAACTGCCAGGCAGGGTCAGGCCCAGATCCATCTATTCCAAAACCTCTGCTCTGATATCAGCTATTTCCAGGGAAATGCAAAAATCCAGGACTTGGCTAACACCTCCCCTCTTTCTTCTCAGATGCAACTCCTGATCTCTGAAAGCCAGAGACCATTTTATACCCTCAGAGCTCCAAACTTTTATATTTACTTTGATTAAATGCTAGAAAGATAGACAGGATATACAGAAGGGATTAAAGACCATCAGAGTTTAGATCAGACAGGAGATTATGAGAGAGATGGATGGACATGTGAGATAAGGACATATTTTTTTAATAAAAAAACGCAGCAGAGGAAGCCATTGCTGGTAGCACTGAATAACTTGAGATTAAAATATCTGTCATTTCCCCCCCATCTTTCACCTCCTGTTTTTCCTCCATCTAACTCTAATGACACAGTCCATTCTGATTGTTTGTTTGTCTTAGCCTGGGGCCAGCAGCCGCTCCTTGGAGACCATTCCTGGCCCCGGCCGTGCTGCAGCATGATTTCCCCATTACAGCAGCGTGCAAGAGGAGCACATAATGGCTGAAATATGGTCAGCAAGAAAAGCAACACGGACAGGTCAAGAGGTTCTCGTCAAGCCACGTGTGAGCGACGATGCCGAGTGGTGTCTCAAAGCAAAATGCCTCCCCTACCACTAGGGATGTATTAAAACCTTCAGCGACATGGACTGACTGCAGCTTCAGCTCTACATTTCAATCTAGAAATCCTGCCTCGGGCCAGAAATGAGTTATCACGCTACAGGCTGACTGCCATTTCTTCATTTTTAATAGTGGAAGTCATTACAATATTACAGAGTTTCCATGATTTAACCAGCTGGACGTTTATAAGTGATTAAGCAGTAACCTATGATCCTTGCAAGTTACCAATAGACTTTCTGTAACAGCACTTGCAGTATTACAGATTATTAATGCAAGTGGAAGAGGTATAACTCCCTATAGAGTTTGGGACTCGGGTTTTGCTATGTAGGAGGTCGGGATGCTGAAAGTCCAACTCACGGGTACTAGCAAAGACAAAAGGTGTTGCCACAAGGCTGTTTCCAGCTTCTCAGCACCTCCCAGTTGTCTCCAAATACAAGAGCAAGGCTCCCTCAGCACTTTCTTCCAACACAGAGCTCATCACTGATCTTTCAACAGCTTTACTTGCTTGCACCCATGTATTTCAGGGCCCTTGCTACCCAGTTTGGACTGTTGTTGCTGTAAACTGATTCCCAAACAGGCCCAAAGGTTCTTCAGTGCTACCACCATTGCTGCAGAGCCAAGAAGGGTTAATGATGACAAGAGCAGCCCTGCCTGTGTTTGATGCTTTGGGTCTTTTGATTTTAGAGAACATTCATGTTTGATCATTGCAGGGTCATTCTGCAGTGTAACCTAAGCAATAGAGCTGGTTTGCTTCATTGTTTTTAATTACTTTTCATGCAGTGCCACCCCTCTAATAGCCTTTATCCAGTTTCTTTATTACATGCTTTTTATACTTTTGAGCAAATACAAACCTCCAAGAATGCTTACCCATGCAATCAAGACTGTCTTTGGGATGGCTCTTCCTTCCAGGAACAGGGGTTTGGGTAAAGGGAGGGCTGCAAAGGGATGAAAAAAAAAAAAAAAAAGAATACACTTTATTATATCAGAAAGGCTGTGGGATGAATTAGGAAGTGTTTACACGCAGAAAGCACAGGCTATACGACGAGACGCACTGATCACTGATCAGCCCAGTCTGCCCAACTGAGCTTCCATCCCCAACCTGCACCAGAATGAAGACTGTTTTCTTGCTGGATCACAGCTTGTTCCTGTGGCAAACAAAAGAGATGCTGCAGAAAACACAGTCACCAGGCTGAAATGAAGTAGCCAAAGATCGCATCACAACACCTATGCACAAGACGGCGCAGAAGGAGGGATGCAGATTTCTCTTCTCTCAACATCAAGTGTTCAACCATGCAATTCTGCTTTCTGAGAACATTGCTTAGTTGCTGCAGATGTACACACTGGAGTCCTTCAGCCACGCTTGGTTCATGGAGGTGTTTAAAAGATGGGTAGATGTGGTGCTCAAGGACATGGTTTAGTGGTAGACTTGGCAGTGCTGGATTAACGGTTGGACTCGATGATCTTAAGGGTCTTTTCCAACCTTAATGATTCTATGATTCTATGCGGGTCTCCCCTCCTCCACAACATCATCCCGACCTTCCTTACACAGGAGGGTCCATACCACCACCGGGCACACAAACCCTCCCAGGAGACCAGGAGGGAAGGGTGAGGGATTGGTGCTTCAAGGCTCAAGGTCTTTGAACTACACTGAGAGGATGATAAAGCACTGCGAGAGGATCTCAGCAATCCTAATTTCACTCTGTAAGGGCCAACAGGGTGATCTGGACAGGTTGCTTTTCCACTCTCCCTTTTAACAAAATGGGCATAGTAGAAGAACTCTGCTTTGTAAAGTGCTCTGAAATCTACTCATGTCAAAGCTGATCGCGACAGCTTTGCTACGGTGATGAGAAATTTGTTGTGTTATTTCTTAGCATCAGACTGGTCACCACGCCTGGTGACTAGCTCTGCCCTCTTGAGGCTAATGCCATCTCAAGCAATTGGCAGCAACGGCTCAGCTACGTCTTTGCAGGAATAGTCATACTTACTCCTCTTTCTGCCTTTGAAAAATATAGCCCTCGTGCCTTTTCCAGCTCCTAGACCCCATGACTGAACACAGCTGCCTGCTTCTTTGTATGGGAAACCAAGCCATAGTACCCTGTTGCAAACATGCTTAACGCTCTACTCTTGGTTCACAAAAAAGCATTATAACCAGGCTGTGCTCCTTCTGTTGTTCCTCCTTGCAAAGTCTATGCAAAAGCGAAGCTGGGGCATTGAGGCTGGGAGCACAAGGAATCCAGCTTCACTACAGCCGTAACAATGAGCAAATACATCACAGGAAATTATTAAAAGCCACAAAAAGGAAATGGACCTTGATGCTGAGACAGATCCAAAGCGCACAGAGCTGCAAACCCGAAGCACGCTACACAATCAAATCAACACAAAAAAAAAAAAAAAAGAATACACTTTATTATATCAGAAAGGCTGTGGGATGAATTAGGAAGTGTTTACACGCAGAAAGCACAGGCTATACGACGAGACGCACTGATCACTGATCAGCCCAGTCTGCCCAACTGAGCTTCCATCCCCAACCTGCACCAGAATGAAGACTGTTTTCTTGCTGGATCACAGCTTGTTCCTGTGGCAAACAAAAGAGATGCTGCAGAAAACACAGTCACCAGGCTGAAATGAAGTAGCCAAAGATCGCATCACAACACCTATGCACAAGACGGCGCAGAAGGAGGGATGCAGATTTCTCTTCTCTCAACATCAAGTGTTCAACCATGCAATTCTGCTTTCTGAGAACATTGCTTAGTTGCTGCAGATGTACACACTGGAGTCCTTCAGCCACGCTTGGTTCATGGAGGTGTTTAAAAGATGGGTAGATGTGGTGCTCAAGGACATGGTTTAGTGGTAGACTTGGCAGTGCTGGATTAACGGTTGGACTCGATGATCTTAAGGGTCTTTTCCAACCTTAATGATTCTATGATTCTATGCGGGTCTCCCCTCCTCCACAACATCATCCCGACCTTCCTTACACAGGAGGGTCCATACCACCACCGGGCACACAAACCCTCCCAGGAGACCAGGAGGGAAGGGTGAGGGATTGGTGCTTCAAGGCTCAAGGTCTTTGAACTACACTGAGAGGATGATAAAGCACTGCGAGAGGATCTCAGCAATCCTAATTTCACTCTGTAAGGGCCAACAGGGTGATCTGGACAGGTTGCTTTTCCACTCTCCCTTTTAACAAAATGGGCATAGTAGAAGAACTCTGCTTTGTAAAGTGCTCTGAAATCTACTCATGTCAAAGCTGATCGCGACAGCTTTGCTACGGTGATGAGAAATTTGTTGTGTTATTTCTTAGCATCAGACTGGTCACCACGCCTGGTGACTAGCTCTGCCCTCTTGAGGCTAATGCCATCTCAAGCAATTGGCAGCAACGGCTCAGCTACGTCTTTGCAGGAATAGTCATACTTACTCCTCTTTCTGCCTTTGAAAAATATAGCCCTCGTGCCTTTTCCAGCTCCTAGACCCCATGACTGAACACAGCTGCCTGCTTCTTTGTATGGGAAACCAAGCCATAGTACCCTGTTGCAAACATGCTTAACGCTCTACTCTTGGTTCACAAAAAAGCATTATAACCAGGCTGTGCTCCTTCTGTTGTTCCTCCTTGCAAAGTCTATGCAAAAGCGAAGCTGGGGCATTGAGGCTGGGAGCACAAGGAATCCAGCTTCACTACAGCCGTAACAATGAGCAAATACATCACAGGAAATTATTAAAAGCCACAAAAAGGAAATGGACCTTGATGCTGAGACAGATCCAAAGCGCACAGAGCTGCAAACCCGAAGCACGCTACACAATCAAATCAACACACCGCAGACCTGCTGGAACACAGCCTTGATGCTGTACGGCAAAAGCAACGGGGGAAAAAAAAAAAAAAGAAAATCTTTGATGCGGATGGAAAAAAAAAATATATATTGCTTCCCAAAAGGACACCGTGTCTTATACACAGCCTACCACGCACAGCAGCAAATGTACAGTTGCTGCGCACGTGTGAGCTTGAACCAACCAGCCACACCAACTATTGAACTGCAGCCTGTGTTAGTACAACGTGTTCTGGTTGC